ATCTGACACAAGGGGAGAGAGAGAGAAAGATGGAGAGAAAAGGAGGGGGAGAGCCCGTGATATGAAAAAAGGGGGGCGGGATTATTTAAAAAAAATAAAGAGCAATAAGATGTGTTCATGATGGGGCCTCATTTCCAAAATCAACAAAGTTTTGTATTTCTTCATATAAATAAATTCCATCATCATTAAACTCGTTAGTCCCCCAAAAACCTGATAGCGGAAACTAATAAAATTATCAAATCAAATATTAAAACTTAAAAGAGAATAAATATTAGTAATTTTAAACCATGAGAAATAATATCCCAGTCCTAAAAAGTCCTTCCTGCTATTCATAACCCCCATCCCATAAAATTCCCATTATTTCTAACATATTAATTTTAATTGTTTGAATAACAAAAAAAAATGCATAGGAAAATATGATAACAGATAAATACTCTAGATAAAAAGTTGTTTCTTACAAATAAAACCGAGAGACAGAATTCTTTTATAAAATATGTTTTTTTCAATAATCCCATCCCTCTTTTTTTTTTTTTGTGTATAGCATATTTGTCAAAAAGACATTGAACCTGATTATTATGACAAAAATAAATTGTTTATAAAAAATAGTACTTGGGGTTAAAAAAACGTGTAGATACAACCAAATGTCATATTTGCGGCCGCGTTGATCGTCGTTTTTGGATCGTTTTCTTTTCCACCGCATCTTATGCGATGTATAGTAAAATACTCTTCCGGTATTTAATATAAACTCTATTTAACTAATTTGATTAGATTAAAAAAGTTAGGTAAATTAGTTAATTATAAGAAATGTGACATATTTTTTCTAAAACACCATAATCATTTTTCTTACTATCTCCTCTCTCTCTTCTACTTGATTATGGTTGAGAGAGTATCCATAGGTGTAATTTAGAAAAAATTGATAAATATGATAAATGAGTTATATTTATGATTAAAACCAACTCAACAATTGAGTCTTATATTAAGGACCGGAGGAGTAATTATTTTTTGCTAAGTATTCTCTTTTCCTAAGCTAGATTGGGTTTTAAATATAAAACTTCATTTTACTTTATTTCTCAATTTTTCTCAAAATATCCCTATTAATTATAAGGTGTCTTCATCAAAGAGTAGCTTCAATGCACATGGTTAAAAATGATAATTTAGTAAGACTAATACATATTTGTGACAAATAATCAAATTAACTATTTTTTTAATATATTTAAATTAGTTATTTGGCTCTTATATTAGGAATTAGAAATAGTATATAAAAACAAACATGCATTGTGGCAAGAAAAAACAATACTTAATGGTCAAAGAGCTGCCATCTGTGATTCAAACTTAACAAACTTGGCCTGCCACGAGAAAATGAGACAACGTAGTGTTATTTACCATGATGATGGAAAGGGGGTTGGTTCCCTGAACAAATACCACATTCACGGGAAGAGAGATATTTCATATTTGTCAACAAGAACATACAATTAGGGCCTGAAATAAGGTATATCGAATTTTGATAAAAAGAAATAAAAACCAAAAAAGAAAAATGTGGGCCAAAGTAAATGGATGTTTGGTATATGCAAATACAAGAAATACATATATTAATAGATAAGAAGAAAAAATGATATTGAAAAGGGAAAGTGATATATAAGGAAGATGAAAATTGTAATATTCCAATTTAGAAACCTAAGAGCTCAAAATCTCAAAAAAAGAAATAGTACCTAATATGGTATTTTGTAAATACAGTCAAATAACTAAAATATTTTTATATTATTTTTAAAAAAAGAAATTATCAAATTTGTAATTACCAGTACATTTTTTTCATGAGCTGTTCAATATTTATCATTATTAATTTACAACTTGTTAATAAACTTTTTGATACAAATACATTTTTGTTATTTAATTACATTTACAAAATACCCAATCAGACATTACTTTTTTTCTGAAATTTTGAAGCCTTAAGTACCAAAATTAAAATATTACAAATTTTAACTTGTTTTTATGTCATCTTCCCAATGTAAAAAGCACCCAAAACATCACTTTCTAAAAATGCAAAAAAAATAAAATCCACATATAATGATTTATCATAAAAAAGGGGAGAATCCTAATTAAATCCAATTAAAATACTTAAATTCAAATTCAGGTCTATACTTTTAATAAATTCTTAATTAGGCCATGAAGCCTCATTAGGAATTTTTTAATATTGTTAAATGACCATAATGCCCCTCTTTAATTGAAAAAAATTGATTGTTTTATCCCTCCCAAATGATTACTCTTTCCTTTTATGATTATTTGTTGTGACTAAAAAACACATAAATAATTTTATAATGTTTAAAATTTGTATATATAACTAAAACCTTTAAAAATATTTTAACCAAAGATTTTAAATTACAATATAAGTACCTTTAAATAAATATTTTATATTTTCAGGTTGTAAATATTTATTTTTAAGATTTTAAAATATTTTAATGACAAGAAATATTTTATATTAAGTTGTTTCAAATTACGTTTTTGGGTTAGAATTCAATATTTGCTTAAATAAATAAAACTAACTTAAATTATAAGCACAATATTAATATTTTTTTTATAATTAAAATATTTCCTTAAAATAAATATCTAGACAAATAAAATAAAATAATTTATTTTAGGGCTATTTATGTTCAAACTTAAAATCTTTTATTAAAATATTTTTAAAGATTTTATTTATATATATACAAATTTTAAACACTAAAAAAAATTTTTAGTTCTAAAAATAACAGTAAGAAGTAAGAGATCATTTGGGGAGTAAAATAATCGATTTTTCATTTTAATTAAAAGAGTTATTCTGATTATTTAACAACTTTCAGAAATCTTAAATTAGGGCTCATGTCCTAATTAGGGATATGTTAAAAGCATAGGTCTTAGGTATTTCAACTGGGTTTTATTGAAAGTTTTCCTAAAAAAAATTTCAATTTAATTTCATTCCACATAAAGATGCCGCGGGTGGAACGATTGTCAAAGATTAAACAAATCACATCCTTCTTGAACCCATCCAACTGATGAAATTCAAGAAGTACACCAAAACCTGCCAATCACGTAGAAACCCAGCACAACACCAAGTTGTAGATAACTTCTTCTTAAGCTGGCTATGAGAATAAATTGCATTAAAAATTCTCATAAACATTGTTTTTGTTATAAGTAATATTATCTCTGTTCTCAAATATAAGATCTAATTTGTAATACCAATTGCTAGATATTATATTTATGACTAGAGGTAATAAGTAATTCGATTTATTTCATAAATTACAGTATGTTTTGCTTAACCATAGTACTAAAACTAAAAAAGAGGTGGCCTATGTAACTAGCAAACCGGTAAACTAATCGCCAAGCCAGTTAAATCAATGATTTTGAATATGATTGAACTTTACATATTTTCTACCTGAGAGTAAAATAACAATATTTTAAGGATATTTTGAGGAGTCTTTATTTAATACTCATTACATCTCGTGTGCTCATTACTATAAAGAAATCTGGACAGTCTAAAACTTAATTTGACCATCCATATTTAAAATTTTGAATCTCCAATTTTTCACAACGGTAAATTTATTTTTTTAAAAAAAGTGTCAGTTATAAAATTATTTATGTTTTAAATTTTATATTTATTAAAATAAAAATTATTTAAAATATACAAAATTTAAATTGACTACGGAACATTCAGAATTAATGGGGGACGGTTCAAATTATAATAAACACTTTATGATGAGAACATCATGCATATATTTTTGATGGGCATGATGTCCACAACTTAAGTATGTTGCGTTTAGTTTGCTTAGTTCAATAAATGTTTATAAAATAATCTACGTGCTTCCCATCAATCATGTTCTAAGCAAAACTAAACTCAAATCCTTGTTTTATATGATCCAAATCTTGATCACTTGGGTTAACAATCTTTCATTGACCTTTTCATATAAATAATTTGATTATCGTTATTCTGTGGTATGTTTGGAATGACTTATATGCAGTATTTCAATTATAAGATAAATATGTGAGATGAATTTTGTTTCGATTTTAATAAATAAAATGTGTTTCTAAATTATTTTAATCACGATGCCAAACAGAGCTATGAACTACTACCTCCGGTTCTAATTATAAGAGTAAGTTGACTAATTTGAGGAGATTAAGAAAGTAAGTTGAGTTAGTTATTTGTTCTAAATAGGTGTTGTCTTTCCTAAAATATCCTTACTAATCAAGTGTATTGACTAGAACTATTATTATTAGAAGGGTTACTTTGGAAAAAAATATATAAATATGAGAGATAAAGTGAATTAAGGTTTTATATTTAGGACTAAAATAAAAGTCAAACAGAGTTTTATATTAAGAACATGAGGTAGTATTAATTAAACAAGAGTAAAATAATGTGGTAATAGATCTTATGCTGATATTATTACAATAAACACGTGATTTCACATCATCAAGCAGAGAACACACGTGGTGGCCCATACCATTATTGCTTCTATTGCACATTTAAGAACATGGTGCACCAAACCCCGCTTGTCTCTTTCCGACGGACCAACTAAGCAAAAACCTGACCCCAAAATCTACTTTACGGTAATCACTCATTTGTGTAAACCCCAGAGGAAAACGATTTAAGCAAGCAACACAAGAAAGTTAAAATTCCTGTTCTTATGATAAGCACGCTTCGCTGTCAGAAATTTGACTTCCCGGCCGTCATTTTCAACGAATATCAATAATTTATTAATTACGATAAGCTTGCTTCATGTGGAGGGCTCCGAAGAGGAAAAAACTAGCATCTGAACCTGATAAATCCATGTAAACGGTAGGTAATTTAAAGTAGGTTGAAAATTTGATATTTTTAAGTATGTAAGGAGGGAAATTAGTGGTTTGTCTCTGGCAGATTAGTGCAATCCTGATTGAGGCTGAGACGTGGATGAGAACAAGTGAACAACGCAAACTAGTTGTGAAATTACCATTTGGAACAAAGGTTCCATTATTTCAGGGTCTTGCCCCTCTTTCTTCGTCTCGCGCTGGTTGTGGCTGCTATTTCAGCAATAATCAGCGAACGGAAAAACAAAGAGGGTCTTTGTTGTATATATTGAAATGAATTATTGAGCTGCTTCTGTTTCTATTATTTCATACTTTCCCGTCAATTGGACCTTGGTGGAGTGGTTTGACTTACCGTCTGGCGATCCAATAGCAAGCCTTCAGGTGATCCTTGGGGAGTCTGCGGAAGGCGATTTCATTACTGTAAGGACTGAACAATCTGATGTTTCTGCTTCTTTCCCCCCGCTTTTTCTCTCATTATCACTTTATCTTGCGCCAGGCCCTTTTTGTGTTTTCTCTCTTATTATATTTATGCGTGTAAAGTAGGAATTAGATTTGACTAATAATCAAATATATTTGATTTCATCCTGTTCTTTCTTCTTCCTTTTTCCAAAAGCGATCTCAGTCCCTTTATATCGGATTTATATATGGGTATCTAGTTCAAACACACCGATAGTTTGTCATGTTTCTTGCACTGTTTTAGAATTGACTCACATGTCATCTTTTTTGTTTCACGTATAACTTTATAGAAAATTTAGAGTCTGCATCTGCTGGTTTGATTCTCATTGCATCCAACCTGTCCTCTCTTTTGGCACTTGTCTTCATCAAAATTCCTAACTGTACTATTGTGAATGCAGTTTCTTGAAGTAATCGAAGTTTCCATTGACTTTGCATCGCTAAGTTGATAACTCTGGTTCCTAATCATGTTTTCGATGCAAATCAAGAAAGTTTAATGAGAAATAATAAAGAGAGAAGAATTGTTATGTGTTGACTCTTTGAATGCCTGTGGGAAGGCATCTGACTATGCTTATAATAATGTGATTCTGCTTGCAGGTATACTTACTACATATGCTAAAATTAGATTCTTGCAAAAGCGAAAAGTGCAGTTGTTAATAAGATGGAGAATGAAAATGATGTGAATCATGGAGATGATGTGAATGACATAGAAAACGAAGGTCCAGTGGATAGGAAGGACAATGGGAGGTACTGGTCAGAGTTTTCTGAAAGAAACATGACATATACAGAGCCACTTCTGGTGAAGAGGATCAACACCACCTCGCAGATCGCCATAGTTGGTGCCAACCTTAGCCCCATTGAAAGCCTTGATTATGAGTAAGTACCTTGTATGCCATTTGAGTTAAGATAATTCTATCATTTATTCAGTTCTAGATAATTCTATCGCTCAAAACAGATTCTGGATTTGTAAAATTAATGCACCAACAGATATTATGTAAAATTGGTTAAAGAAGGAATAAAGACTGCCAATTTTCAGATCACCACCAAAATGAAAAAAGGCTCTGCCAATTTTCTAGAGTGATGGTCTTTCTAGTCATTATTTCTTATACTTAGCTGTCTTGGGCATTTCTGCCTTTTGGAGGCTAGGTTGAAGTGTTATATCTATGTCTTAAGCGCTTTTTCCTGCCCGGTTATATGTTCGCAACTATATGAACTTTTTTCTTTTCCCCCATCTTTATATATCTTTGCAAGTTTCCCTCAGCACATGATTCCCATTGTAACACATCCACTGAAGTAAATAATGAAAATTAAAAAAAAAAAAAATCAGAAAGCTGAGTACCTCACTGTATTATAAACTCTGGAATTTTTGTAACTGTTTTGGCAGATCCATTAGTGGTAGGAAGTGATAAGGTTTCTGTTATTTCAGGATATTTGAGAATGAAATATTTAAACAGGACTGGAGATCAAGGAGCAAGATTCAGATATTCCAGTATGTGATACTTAAGTGGGCATTTGCTGCTCTTATTGGATTAGGCACTGGTCTACTTGGCTTCCTCAATAATATTGCCGTTGAGAATATTGCTGGTTTCAAGCTGCTTCTGGCGTCCAACCTCATGTCCCAGCACAGGTGAGCTTGCTCCTTGGTTTACCAACTCTGCATTCTTAACATTTAATAACATTTTAGCCAAAACTTTATTTGGCGTATGCTGCTTGTTTATTTTTTGCCTGCGGCATATGCTGCTTGTGTTGCTAGTAACTATGCGTTAGATAAGATGTGTATTATTTGCTTATAGCATGATTTGCAGAATTCTGTCAAGATTAAGGTCTCTTACCTTTTGATCGATCCCCTCATTCATGACTAGAAAATGGTGTACATGTGATATGTATTGCATTCTTGTCACAGCTAATACTCCTTATATGCTTCGGGCACTTTTATTTCATTTTTCAAATTTTTTTCATTAAAAAAAACTTTGCTGACACTCAGTAGGAATGACAATATTGTTTGAAAATCCCAAGATAATTAAATTTTTTTTCCCTTACAAATACAAGCAATGAAAAAATTTGGCGGTTAATCATTTTCCATTTACCTTTATTTCCAATTGGTCTTAGTTTTTATTGGAGAAAGAGTTGACATATTTAAGATGCATCCACCCCTAAAAATGCTATCTAGCATTTGGCTTGGTGGAAATTATTTGACAGAATAAGCCAAACTGCATGCATAGCTTTTTCACAACATTGCCTCCCTTTATTCTCACAATATAGTAGTTTCAGTACAGATACATTCTAGCATTTGTGGCATTAGCTGGTTGCAATATAGGTTTAGCAGCGGCGGCTGGATCTCTTTGTGCTTTCATTGCTCCAGCTGCAGCAGGCTCTGGTATTCCTGAGGTGAAAGCCTATCTCAATGGTATTGATGCTCATAATATACTGGCTCCAACCACTCTTTTTGTGAAGGTGAATAATGATATAATTCCACAAAACTATTTCTTGCTCTTATCATTTTTATTTTCATTCTTACATTTTTTTGGTGTTAAGAACAGAACTCAAACTTCTATTTGTTTCCTTTGATCTTTTACTAAAATATTAACGTTATCTATAAAACTCATGATTTCATCTGTGACAGGTTTTTGGTGCCATCCTTGGAGTTTCTGCTGGATTTGCGGTGGGCAAAGAGGGGCCTATGGTACACACAGGTGCATGCATTGCTTCCTTGTTAGGGCAGGGTGGATCGCGCAAGTATCGCTTGACTTGGATGGGGCTAAGATATTTCAAAAATGATCGAGACCGGCGAGACATGATTACTTGTGGCGCTGCAGCTGGTGTTGCTGCTGCATTTCGTGCTCCAGTAGGTGGTGTTCTCTTTGCCCTTGAAGAGGCCGCTTCCTGGTATCTATTTCTACTGCAATTGTGCTATTATGCTTCCTTTTCTGACTTTAATTTTTTTGCGAATTTATATTTGATTACTGTTTGACATCTGGCTTAAACTAGGCAGTAATGCAACTATAAAATTTCTTTATCAATCTTCCAATTTCTTGGATATACTCAATGCAGAGTGAGTGGTAGAATATTGATAGATGTTTAATATGGGGTAAAAATAGATCAGTGTATGACCTATCATTAGAACCATGAATCTCAAATAAATGTTGGCACTGGGAAAAAAAATCCAGCCTGCAAAGGTTTTTTAATGATAAATAGTAGTTTATAAATATTAGCTTCAGTAATCTCTTTGCTCTTCATCTGTTGCTTTAATGGAACGACCTCCATCTTAAAAAAAAAAAAGTTGGCGTATGACATCTTAATTTCTTGGTTAGATTTCTGTTTGGCTTGTGGACAAGGTAAGCAGAATGCCGTAATCTTTATTTGGTTTCAACACTTTGTTAATAGAATATATGCTGAGATGTTACAAAACATGAAATTTGAGATTCTGTCATATGAAAAGGCACCAAAATAGAAAGCATATTTACTGTATGTTGTCAATGTTAATGCTAAATAAATACACGACAGAATTAATACTAAAACGAAAAC